AGGCTAGCCGTACTTAAGGACGGCTAGACTGTCAGGCTAGCCGTACTTAATATTGATGGCTGAATTGTAAATGAAATTTTGGCGATTGTCAAGATTTCCACGTTTAATTCTGATGTGTGCTTTTCAAAGCCTAAGGTATGTTTCGCTTTGGTGAATTTGGAGTTAGTAGAGTAGGGTTAGGGTTAGGGTTAGGGTCAGGGTTAGGGTCAGGGTTAGGGTTAGGGTTAGGGTTGAAGAGTTAGGGTCAGGGTTAGGGTTAGGGTTAGGGACCAAAGCGAAACATACCTTAGGCTTTGAAAAGCGCACATCGGAATTAAACGCGGAAATCTTGACAATCGCCGAAATTTTTAGTTTGTAATGCCAAAAGTATTTGTATTTCAGACAAAACCAAAAGGTGCCTTACTGACTTGCATTATTTGAACCTGAATAATTACTATCTAGATCTAGATCTAGATGTAGATCTAATGAGACCTGTGTACTTAACAGGTTTTAGTCGATTGGGCCAAACCTAGATCTAAGTACGGCTGAGAGTCTAGCCGTACTTAAGTACGGCTAGCCACTTCGAATAGTATTTGGTCACCAAGACTTCTGGATTTCTTCTCTGGATGTAGATTAGATCTAGATTTAGATCTAGATCTAGATCTAGTTCTAAATACTAGATCTAAATGTAAACTGTAAACAAATGGATCGTGGACTTTAATAACGAACGGAACTAATCTACAAACAAGATCACACAAAATATCTAGATCTACCTTTCAGATGCAACTTTGCGCTGTAAACTTCCTCTGCAACACTGAAGTCCCAAACAGTTCTTAACTTGAGTACATCTATTTGCTTGGACAATCGCACTGAATTTCACCTGACCAAAGAACAGTACAGAGGGACTTACACTACTACTGCTTCAGCTAGAGCTAGGCCTAAGGGCGCTGCCATGTTGTTTTACGAACATATGGAATGGAAAATGTTGCAAAACAATATATGTAGATCTAGAATCAAGATTTCTAACTATTCTTTTCAATGAATCTCTGTTGGTTTTTTTTTCAGTTCCTTTTTACTTACTATGTATTGGATAAGATTAAGAGGAGTTTTTTTAAAACCTAAATCGACACTTCTAGATTATTTTTTTGTTTGTTCGAACGTCTTCGTTGAACAAAAAAATATATTAATTAAACTTGATATAATCAAATGCGAAATAAACATGGAATAAAGTACGTTATGTCGAAAAATAAAGGCGAGTCATTTCCGGCGTTGAAAATGGAGGAACCAATGCAGGTTTTCCAGTTCTTACTGTGTTTGTTTCTGTTCAATTGGCAATCATTCGGTTCAGCCGTTGAAATTGATGAAATTGGAGACAGATCTGAATTTAAGATAGAAGGTAAAGTGTTTGTTGCTTCTAAAGACAAAGAATGGACGATGAATTCAAGAGTTCTTGTCGACGGTGGCGAGTATCTGGGCTTCGTGAGGTGAGTAACGGGATTGCCCTACATTTTCTGAACTGCAATTTGTCTGTTTGTCGACCTAGATCTATATCTAGATCTATTATTGAATCAATGAAAAGAGTTCGAAGATGGAATTGACAATACGTGTTTTTGTTTGCTGCTTTGGTTGTTATAAAATGTTATAAGCTTGTTGTTTTGACTCTAGTATAGCCAGTTTTGCTTAGCAAGTGAGCCTTTGCCAAAAGTAAAAGGTGAGGGTGTTTGCATGAGGCATGAGGCCTTTTTAAATCAACCACTACTCGTGGAAAAATTTGTTTTCTACGGAAAACATTATGCTTATAGCAAGGAAATAAGTTGGTCAAGCTGCATGAGGGGAGGACTTCCGTAACGAGCGACCACTATAAAATCTAGATCTAGATATTTTACTCAATGGCTTCCAAAATCCTGATGGGAGACCGAAAGCCACTGTTATACCATCTGTTCATGACAAAATTACGGTAGTTTGCGCATTTTTAGGCCCAGTTAAAAGTTTTG